TTTTATTAAAACTATGTCGTTTTTATGTAAAAATTAGGAACCGTTGTGAAATTTGCAGCACAAATTGAAATTTGCTGCTTATTTACCGCACTTTCTCCTTGTGTCACAGCAAAAGCGTTGCAAAAAGCCCGTTTTCTTGTAGTGTATATTTGTAGTGTTTTCTTACGTTTATGTTCAGCACTTTTCACATAGAGTTATGCTGAAATTTGTTTTTTTTTTTTCACAAGATAAGTTCCATTTGCATTCGTTAAAGCTTATAAAATAAAGGGTTATTATCACTTTACCCCCTTAACGTTTGATACCATTATCAATTTTACTCTTAACATTATCTTTTAGTCACTTTATCCCCAAAACTAACCGTCAAACATAACGGAATTTGTTAATTAAAGTAAAAGACAAGTTTAGTCCTTAAAGTTATTATCACTTTATCTCTATAAACTATAGTCTCATTATCAATTTACCCCATAGAATTATTTTTTAGACAATTTATCTCATCATTAAACCAACTTAGCTAGTTAAAATACTTTAGAAGAAAGTACCCTCCTCTTTATATAATAAAACAATAAAAAATTTAGAGTGGCTCTTCTCTTCTTTAGTATTAAGAAAAAATTCAAAGTATTAATCTCTTATTTCTTGGCAATCTTATTAATATTAAAAAAAAATAGAATGATCGGGAAAGGGAGGGATAGGGGGGAGAGATAGAGAGAGAGCTCAATTTTTTTTAAAAAATTACAAATAAGAAAGAATTAAATATTTTTATTATTTTAAAATTATTTTATTTTACTGTTTACCACCAGGTTTCAATCCTAATTCCAACAATCTTAAATTAATACGATAATGTTAGATTTTTCTTTATTATTATTATTTTTTTGCAAAATCTAATTTTTTGTCTCCTTCTTTCCTATCTCTTTTTCTTTTCCTAGTATTAATAAGTATGAACAAAGAAATTTGAGAAAATCCTTTTATTTTTATATTTTTGGATCCCTTAAAGTGAAAAAAAGAAGAATAATCATTCCAAATTTTTTTACTTTTAATTTTATATATAAAAGGGTAAATATATTTAAAATTTTTTGACCATACTAGTTAGATTAACGATGAAATAAAATGCTTAGAAAATAATATTAAGAATTAAAGCGATTATATCACTATAATTTAAAGGAATAAAGTAATAATAATAATATAGTAATGCTATAGAATAAAAGGGTATTTTTGTCCAAAATTTTTTAATATGTTGAGTTCAATTACTTATAGGGGGTGAATTGACTAGAAAATTATATTAGGAGATAAACTGATAATAATGATATATTTAAAGAGGATAAAGTGATAATAACCCTAAAATAAAATACGCGGAGTAGCTAAAGCTAGTCGTCATCAATGAAAACCCTCTAGAAAAGTTGAAATTGCAACGTACTTGTCAAGTGGCTAAAACCCTTTCTCTTTCAGTTTTGACAATTGAATGCTATTAGTACGTACGACAAAGAAGACAATTTCGAAAAGTAACCTTTGAAACCTATATGAACCGGAAAAAAACTGTCATGGAGATGATGTTGGCATAATCTTACTCAGTTTTTAATAAGGAAGATATGAGATTTAAGAAACAAGGAGAATGACGTATGGGATTAAAATTCAAAACTTTTGCGTCTTGAGGCATCAATCCAAGCATATTCTTCTTACTCAACAAACACAAATATGCACAAAAAGAACAAGAGAAGGACCGCAGAAGAAGTTAATAAATAGGATTAGTTGATAGTTTTCTTGACCTGATTAAATATTGTTCTAAAAACATCTGTTTGGATATTTTAGTTTTTCAAAAAGTAGTTTTTCAAATATTAATTTTTTAAAAAGTACTTTAAAAGATATTCTAAAAAATAATCTAATTTTTTTAATATTTAAAAAATATTTCAAAAAATATTTTAAAAATTTTACTATTCTTAAATATTTCAAAATATTTTCTAAAAATATCTCAAAATATACTCTAAAAACTCTGCTACAGTAAAATTGTTCAAAAACATCTCTCTTTACTGAGTGAAAAATGATTTTGATATCTTGTGCCTTTTTCTTTTTATTTTAATATATTTTCCATTTTCGAGTGGCGATCGAGGAGGACAAATTATCTTCTAAACATGTACAAAGTTTTGGAAGGAGCTGCTTTCAAAAACTTATTTAATGCTAGTAAACTCTAACCGGTTTTTTTTTGTCTTTGCTGATTTATCTGTACAAAAATGCTCTTGTATTATTTTTCTGAAAGCTCCACAATCCAATCAGAGAGTCTCGAGTCTCTTGACATTACAAGCTTTATGCCGACCCTGTCTCCTCAGCTTCTCTATTTGACTAAGTCATTGCTCTTTTATTATTATTTTTTTAATAACATTATGATTGCTCCGCATGAAACTCGAACCCATGACTTTTGAGTCACGAGGCGAATAAGCCGTTACTCTTATATACATATAGGAGGTTTTTTAAAAAGCACTTGTTAACACACCTAATATTTACATAATTTATCATATATATATATTAATAATTATTATCCTTTCTTGTGTTTATATACTTTCTCTGTTTAATCTTGCTTACTCTGTCTTATATCTATTTATTTTTTCTAATTAATTTTATATTTTCAAAAATATGACACCCGTTATCCGAAATATATATATTAACGAGCGTCATATGTGTACCCGTTAGACAGACAGATGCATATATAGTAAGAAGAAAGACAGGTTGAAGATAAATATTCTTCTGCCTAGGGGCAGTGAAAAATTAAGAAGCACGAAAATGGATCCATAACTTGTAAAGGTACACAAATTCATGTATACCCTAACCAATTATAATACCTAATGATGCTCCTTAACTCGATCCACTGCCTTAATTTTGACTATATTCATTGTGTTGGCACTGAAAGGTACCTATATATTTGTGCATTTATTAGTCCAAAAGGCTTTATTTATATATATATATATATATATATATATATATATATATATATAAAAGACACAAGAAAACTGTCACGTAATGTATCATGCAGTTTTTTTGGGTACACAAGTCAGCTTGGGGATAATCATTTGCGTCCAATTATCGACACCCAATCCTGCTACTTACTGGCTTTGGGAGGCAAAAAAAAAGGAAAAAAAAATTCTGAATTTGAAACTTCTCACTTAAAAAAAGTAGAGAAAAATGCAATTTTGGTATCCAAATTTTGACACATGAGCAATTTTAGTTCCCAAACTTTGGACAAAAGCAAATCTGGTACCCAATCTTTGAACTTTTAAACACATTTAGAACCTTCGATGGATTTTTTTCAAATTGCAATAGAAAAGAGTCACATGATAGTCACATGTTCACCAACTATTATATAAAAAAAAATACAAAAAAAAGTTAAATTTAGTCCTTAAACTAAGTATTTAGTGTTAGAAGAATACTTTACATTTTTTGACATATTTTATAAAATAGTTGCCAGAAATGTGACAATCACGTGACTTTTTTCAGTTACAATTTTGGAAAAAATCATTAAATGTACTAAATGTGCTCAAAAGTTGAAAAATTGGGTACCATATTTGCTTTTGTCTAAAGTTTGAGAACTAAAACCGCTCATACGTCAAAGTTTGGATATTAAAACTATATTTTTCTCAAAAAAAGTATTTTACATGTTAATTTTTGGATTGAAAAAGCACATATAGAGTTCTACCCCTAATTAGGTACACTGACGTGAGTGGATTTGTGGCATACGTCAAGCATTGCATGGAAAGCAACTAATGAATCACAATTAGTCCTTTTTAGGTTTAATATATGATTTGTTAAAAGTTACTCTTATATATGATAAACTTGTGTGAGAAAACATAAATAGACCCACACCCACCTCATAATATGCTAGTCAATCAAAAGAAAGTTACATGTTTTCTGACCCAAAAAATAAAAATAAAAATAAAGAAAGCTGCATGTTTATAGAGGGGACAGCAATATGTCCAACCATGTTTTGTGACTCTTATAAAATATCAAAGTCCATCCAACCAAAAAAAGGAAAAAGGGTATGTGTATGTCCTTGTCTGATACACATGCAAAAGAGGTTTGAATGTGTAAGTCCTTGTCCAAGATCAATTGGTGAAAAGATAAGGTCAATTAATATGGTTAGGTTGGTTGCAAATGCTTTCAAATCACTATTGGTGACAGATATGCTTTGTGATAGTTGTTTAAGGTTAGGCAATTAAATTATTTTTTCTTGCCGTCGAGTTGAGGGTTAAGGATTCAAATCTCAATTGGAATGGCCAGGGTGTGGAGAGGGTCGGGAAGGTTTTGAAAAAACAAATAAAGTTTGTTAGTTAAATCAACGGTTTGGCTAATGGTTTCTATGTATTAACTTTTTGAAAAATTGTATTTAATTTGAAAAAAAAATCTAAATGTAAGGGGTATAATAATTGCCATTGTGTGTGTTAATATGACAAATTATTACAAAAACAAAAGGAGAGAAAAGATAATAAAAAAGGTAATTTCATCAATTCACAAAAAGAAAAGGAAAGGAAAATATAATAAAAAATGTAACTTAATCAATTCCCAAAAGACAAAAGAAAGAAAATCTCAAAAAAAAGGTAAATTAATTAATAACTCCCAGGAAGAAAAAGGGGAAAAAAAATCATAGAAAGGTAAGTTGCTTAATACTTCCCATAAGGAAAAAGAAAGAAAATTTCATAAAAAGGTAGAAATTTCTGTTTCCTTCTTAGCCAAAAACAGAAAACAAAATGGAATATTACAAGCTGTACCAAATATTCCCCTTCTGCTAAATTCTTACAACCAGTTTCTGGTTAAAAACTAAAAATATAAAATATAAAACAAAGAGGAAAAACTCCACAAAAAGGAATCCAATCAAGTGCATCCACCACGAAACTACCGGTCCACAGTAGTCCACGACGTACCATATCAGAACTCCTTGGACCAACCTGTAATGCGTGTGGCCCAGCCCAATAAAAAAGTCTATAAATACATTAAGAGCTGTAAATCCATTTTCCACCTGCCAGCTTTCAGTTTTTTCAATTTCCATTCGTCTTCTCCGCGTCTCCCTTTCTCTCTCTGGACTGCTCATTCCTCCATTACCAGGCAGAAAGATTCTCTCTCTAGAATTAGAATCACCGATTACTGAAGAAAAGGAGAAAATAGCAATCGATTGAATTCCGAAGTTCTGGAATTTGGATTATTATCCTGCTCGATTGCTGGTTAAGGCGTGATTAGGAGTGGAATTAGTAGAGAGAGAGAGCTGAAATTGGGGTAGGTTTGGAATACGCATGAGGAGGTGTTTGGGAAATAAGCTTCATCAATCATTAAATTCTAATTCTTATTCGAATCGCTCCATCGTTTATTCGTTTCTTGTGTTTTTTCTTCATTATTCTCCTCAATTCGGTGTTTTCCTCTTTTTCATTAATGATTTTATTCTTCATTCCATCTCCTTGTTGTCCCTGTTATTGTTAAGATTCTCTAAATTGAGGTTGTTACTGAGTTTAAATCGTAAGCTTTCGAATTGTGAATTTGATCGCGGATCATCTGTTATTCATGGACTCAAGAGACAAGAGGAGTAATCCCCAATTGCAAAAAGGTCTGTTTTTTTTCTTTTAATTCCTTTTTCTGATTCTTCTTTTAAACTTTTTGTTCCTTTTAAGGTTTTGGGTTCAGTTTTGAGCTTATAAGCTCATTTTATCTGTTTAACTGTGTCATTTTTTTTTGTTTTACATCATAATCAGTTTAATCTGGATACTGTTTACTGGCTTTTCAGCTCTAGTTTAATCTATAGTATACGTGTGCTTTTTTTAGTTAAACGAAGAAAAGAGATTTTTTCAAAAAAGTTTATTAGTGTTTTTGTTGATTTTTGCCATGCTACCGACGATTGGAAAGAAAGAATGTTCAAAGAGATTTCCGTAGAGTAATTAGAAAGTTATAGTAGCTCAATTGGACTAAAGTACCCAAAATGACCCTGCTCCAATCAAAAAGATAAATGGTAAAAAAAAAGACGACTCTTTTCGTGAATGTGAGTGGTAAGAATCACAAGATTAAGATGAAAGGAAAATCCTTTAGTTGTGGATTTTGTACCATAGATCATTCCGCGAGAGCAGGAGGGACTGGACCATATTCAGTACTTTTATGATCCATCTGTTTTTAACAGTCCATGAGTTTAGAGTTGAATGGGATTGGACAAAGTGTTAACCAACCACACACACACCCCACCACCACCCCCCTCGGCCCCCAACAAAAAAATAGAGAGGAAGTAAATTTGGTTTTTGAGTGCATCTGATATGATAAAATCTATTGCAAGGCATCAGGTTATTTCAGCTCCGGGTCTAGAAATTGCTAGTTATTTAGCAAATGGAGAGTGGATAAGCTATTCATGAGTATGGACTTCTTGTGTCCTCGGTTCACTTATTAAGCTATGCAGTACTTAAAACAGTTGCAGGGATAGAGATGTTGTATTCTCATTGCTGCTCTTCATACGTTAGTTTCTGTTGCATGTCCACATCTAGGCATGTTTGTTACTATGTTATATCATGTACTATACAGCCATGCAAGCAAGACACTGGACGTGAATATAATGCAACATGCACTTCTCTTGCTGGAATGATCTGCATTTAAAATGGTAGTGCTTTAGATAATAGGTGGTACAAATGTCAAGGAAGGATGGTGGAATCAAAGTGCTTAATTTTGGAAGTTGAGTGGAGTCTTAGGTGTACATGGTCAATGTAGTTAAAAAATTTTCTGCGCTCTGTGAATTCGGTGGCTTGAATGTGACCTCTCTCTATCTGGACTCTTTTATGAAATTTTATGGCGATATGATGAAAAATACCTGCATGAGATACTTATGAGTGGTTTGCAAATCCTGTCTTGTAGTAATTATCTTACTCTGTCTTTATTTCTGTGTAGCTCTTTGCTATTCGAATGTGGAGAGAAGGCATGCATCATCACCATCTGTGATAGTCATAGGTGGTGGCTTTGCAGGCATTGCAGCTGCACGAGCTCTTTATGATGCTTCATTTCAGGTTGGAAGGACAATATATGTTTATACCTTTATTAAAGGTATGATTGCTGTTTATAATGCTTATAGAGAATGTATGTGTTTGTAGGTCACTGTGTTGGAATCTAGGGACAGAATCGGTGGTCGAGTTCATACTGATTACTCATTTGGTTTTCCAGTTGATCTTGGTGCATCCTGGTATGTAGAACAGGCCCCCCCCCCCACCCAACCAAAAACCCCAAAACCAAGAAAAAAACCTGATCAGGAAAAAAAAACTGTATCTTCTCTTCATATCTTGATCTTTTGGATGCATTAGACAGATATCATTTGCTTTTCTTTTCGGTTAAAATTCCATTTTCTTATGCTAGGTTACATGGGGTGTGCAAAGAGAATCCACTGGCACCTGTTATAGGGAGACTAGGATTACCTCTCTATCGAACAAGTGGTGACAACTCAGTTTTATATGACCATGATTTGGAGAGGTTTGCATTATTGTCCTTTCCTTTTCAATTTGCATATTCTGTACGCATTATATGTTGCAGAATAACAGAGATTTTGTTGTAAAGTAATTGATCTTTATGGATTTCCTTGCGACATGTCATTTTAGATAAGCTTAACGTAACAATATACGTATTGGTTTTAAGCCTTTGACTAAGACATCTAAAGTTTCTCCTTGCGGTCTGCATATTTTGATACTTGGCACTTGATTCAATCTCACTTGCCCTTTCCTATTTAGTCATTGCTCTGATGGAATACTGCACTTGGTTCAGGTAGTATGAGTTTCATTCGATCCCTAATTAACAGACACCTCATAATAGAATAAGGTTAACCATAACCACAAGAAGAAGCTGTTATCTTTTTCCTTTTTACTGCCTTTTGAATTTATTTATCAATTCTTGTTTCATGACTATCTTCTATGCAATATAAGGTGATTTTTTTTTATTCAGCTATGCGCTTTTTGATATGGATGGAAATCAAGTTGCACAGGATTTAGTGTCAAAGGTTGGACAGATATTTGAGAGCATTCTGAAGGAGGCATGTACTTTCCCTATTTCTCTTCCATCCCTATTTCTCTTCCATAGCTTTTGGCTAATTGAAATCGTTTTTGTTACACATCAAAATATCACCAACATTCTTTTCTTGTGCGCATATTTTTTTGTTGATTTATGCTGTCGTCTTGTGCAGACGGACTTAGTCAGGCAAGATTTTAGGGAAGATATGCCAATATCTCGTGCAATCTCTATTGTTTTCGAAAGGAGGCCAGATTTAAGGTTGAACTCGAAATCCTTGTACTTTAAATGCTTTTATTCTTGGTACAGTTTATTAAAGCTTCTAATGCATAGTGGTACAGGTTGGAGGGGCTTGATTATAAGGTATTGCAATGGTACCTGTGTAGAATGGAAGGCTGGTTTGCTGCAGATGCTGATACCATATCACTTAAATTCTGGGACCAGGTTAGTTTCTTCACCTAGTGCTTTAGCTGTATTTTTATGTGGATGTTTCTTCTTCTTTTGCTGGATCTCAGGGGTAGGGAAGGATTTGGAAGACAGAATCTCTTTTGCGAATGACTACCTATGTGTTAAACAATGGTAAAATGACACCCTGAACCTTGACTTGTTTACCTTGTATTTCGTATTTGCAGGAGGAGTTGCTTCCTGGTGGACATGGACTTATGGTCAGGGGTTATCTTCCGGTTATAAATACCCTTGCCAAAGGTCTTGACATTCGTTTGGGTCATAGGTAATTGACATAATTTCTTACTTTACCATACCATATTTCCTTAATTTCTTGCTTGTTACTCCCAATAATCAAGCAGTTAGTCAATTTTTTTTTTCTCCTAAAGGGTTACAAAAATTGTAAGACGTTACCATGGAGTCAAGGTAACTGTGGAAGATGGGAGAACTTTCGTAGCAGATGCTGCTATTGTGGCTGTCCCTCTTGGTGTTCTTAAATCGAACCGTATCAAATTTGAGCCGAGATTACCAGAGTGGAAGGAGGCAGCTATCAATGACCTCGGAATAGGTATTGAGAACAAGATAGTTTTACACTTTGAGAAGGTGTTTTGGCCAAATGTAGAGTTCTTGGGAGTGGTTGCAGAGTCTTCTTACGAGTGCAGTTACTTTCTTAATCTACATAAGGCCACTGGCCATTCCGTCCTTGTTTATATGCCTGCTGGGCAATTGGCCCGCGACATTGAGAAAATGTCAGATGAGGCTGCTGCTAGTTTTGCTTTCATGCAGCTGAAGAGAATCCTTCCCAACGCTTCTGAACCGGTAAATTTTGCAACTCATTACTTATCTTATGCCCATGTTCCTTTGCTTGCTTATAGATTCTTTTATTTTTATGTTGATTCTGTGGTCTAGCTTCTGTGATTACCGCGGCATTATGACTTGTATTTACCTTTTTTTTTGTTCTTTGGGAGAGATGGTTTTTTTTTTTTTGGTTTTTTGTTGTTTGGGGGGGGGGGGGGGTTTGGAGAGCCATGTTAATATGATCTTTTTCTGACCTGAGTTGAACATTTTGGCACAATATATAATTGTTCTGGGCTTAAAGTGTCTCCTTTACGCCCTGAATATTTACATTTTGTGTTTGGTTGGTTCTGTAAATAATTCAGCCTGTTCCTTCAAGCTGGTACAATTTGTCAGTATTGTGGAAAAAGAAAGCTGTTATAGTAGTCTTTGAAGCTGCACTTCAAGGATTCCAGTGACATTCTTTACCATTTTTGTAATTATTTTCTTTTCCTCTATGTCAAAGAAAAAAGGGTAGTTACTCAGATGTACTAAGTATCCATTCTATTGTCGAGAATTTCGCATAAAAGTCCCCTATTAGGGAAGCTTGAATGGTTATCATAGCAAGATTTCTCCAGATGTTTAAGTTGTCTTCCTTGTCTGTGGCTTAGTAACGTTCTCACAAGTAATTGAACTTGATGATAAACCTGACGTGGGACATCTGAAATTTACTAGGCATCTGGGTTTCTTTCGAAATACTTCTGCTGTTGTCACCTTCATGCGTGGATATTTGAGCTCTAGCAAAGCAAATACATGAAAACAGTCGTAAATGAATTCTGCAATAGGTGTTAACTTCATATTAGGAATGACATTTTTGCTGGTAAATTTGCAGATTCAGTACCTTGTTTCTCATTGGGGCGCAGATGAAAACACACTGGGCTCCTACAGCTATGATATGGTGGGTAAATCCCATGATCTGTATGAGAGGCTAAGGATCCCTGTGGATAACTTATTTTTTGCTGGGGAAGCAACTAGTTTCGAGTACCCAGGTTCTGTACATGGAGCATACTCAACTGGTCTAATGGCTGCTGAGGACTGCAGGATGCGTGTCTTGGAAAGATATGGGGAATTGGATATACTCCATCCAGTGATGGGGGAGGACCCGCCAATCTCCGTCCCATTGTTGATCTCCCGAATGTAACAGTTTTTATTCGGGTTTAGAAACCGTTTACATGTTCCAACATGTGAATTGGCCTGAAAAATATGTGCTGCCTGCTTTTTGAGAAATTAGGGAATCCAAAAAAAAAAAAAAAAAAAAAACTAGGTTTCCTAATGAATGATAAAAGCGGCAGTTAATATTCGTGTGGTCGGTCTTCCTTGTGAGTTTGAATGAATAAAGTTGTATTGTCGGGACATTGAAAAACAACTTTGGTTGTTATATAGCCTATAGTACTCTGTCATCTGGTCTATGGAAACTTATTCAGACACTAAAAGTTGTAGAGGCTTCCATCCACTCCACGCTACGGGAACGTTAAAGTTGGAGGCGCTTTGTAGATGAACTGTCTGGTGTATTTCTGGAGAAAAGAACCTGGTTAGCTTTGCTTTTCGGATACTTTTTCGATGCTTGCATTTGCTTTGCTGAAGTAGGGTAGTCAGAGCAGTCATGTCTGATCCCATGGCGCATTTTGTTGCTCAAATGTGGATCGAATGAAATGCCACATGCATTAATTCCAGCCCATATGAAAGTCATACGTTCATTTTGTTCATTGCCAGCATCAAGCAGGAATACCACAGATATGCGCCTAAGCGTATTACGCTTTGCAAGTTTGACAAATAGTAAAATTCTCTCCTGTTGGCATGTTGAAAAGAACTGTATCAATACAAGTTTAGTTACAAAGAAATATTACTTGTTTACAAGACACAGAAGACGAGGGGGGAAAAAAAGCCTCCCATTTGCATGTGTACTGGTATGCAATTCTTTTATTTAGGACGGAAAAGGTAATGTGAAATTTCCTCTGTGACGAAGAAATTAATGAAGAGAACAACACAAGGGTCAATTTTAAAGGTTCACTGATTCTTATAGGTATAGAAATGGAGTGAAATCTTTTTACGTACCTAAAGGCCTTTGAGTTGAGTTGAGTTTAGTTTCCAATGTAACAAATGTCACTTAAATCTGAGTTTTTTATGTCAACATATGACCAAATATTAAAGTATGACAGTGCGTTAAGCCGAATCCAATCCAAGTATCCGCAAAGAATCCGATGACGGATTCAGGGGATGGATTCGAGACAGAGGTGAGTTCCAGTTTTAGTTCCCATGTTCTATTTTTACCTTAAATCATCTCTAAGCCTCCATAGTCATCCAAATACATAATTTTGTACCCCATAATTATATTATTGCTTAATAATTAAAATTAATGTAGTGAATTCAAATCATTCAATTTCTACCAAGATTTTTCATCTCTTGAAACAGCCAAAAACTCTCTTAAAGTGCATTCTAGGCAAACACTCCGTCTCCAACCAAAATCAAGAACTAAAAAACATCTCAAAAGTATAGCCTAACAAAAGATTCAAGAAAACCAACCGAAAATCCACCATACCCAATATTCAATTCATCTTCAACCCAACATCCAATCCAAATTAAATCACAATTAAACTAATTAGACAACTAAACTTACTTTGATTAGATGGTGGAACGCAACTTCCTAAGTTCCCCCTAGCACTTGGGTTGGATTCCTTTAAGCTCAACCTTGGGGGATCAAAGAAGAAGAAAAAGATTCTTAGGATTAGGAATAATTTCAGAAACTTTCCTTAAGGTTTCTAATAATATTTCAAAAATTTCACTTAGCTCCCTTATTTTCAACATTTTAATTCAAAATATACTATTAAATTATTCATTTTAAGAAAGAGAACATAGTTTCTTTCCAACATTACCCTTTGGTTGTCTTACTATTACAAAATAAAAAGTATATTAATCAAAAGTTAAAAATAGAGACAAAAGTATGATGACGTAAATACAAAAAAAGAAATTTATTTAAAATGTTTTCAAACTAGAAAAACATTTTTTTTTGGTCTTTTTTAGGACTCAATTTTTTTTTTGCTACAATAGGGGGTTGATTATTTTGGTAGAAGAGTAGATTTCTGCCACTAAAATTTTGTAATTTAGGTGGTTGATTATGATTTTAAAACGTTAATGCTGGATCCACCTTTATTTGTTTGATATGCGAATTAGGTGCCTATTAAGTTATCATATAAAGAAATCTTTCCTTTTATGTAAGCTATTTTGAGTGAATTTAAGAAATTTTATATATTATTTAGCATTTTCATTTTTTTTTATCCAAATCGATGGCTTGGAAATAAAAAAAAAGGAAAAGTGTTTAAAATTGCATTTATAACTTATTTGAGATGGCTAAAAAAATTAATTTGAAATGCTCTCAAGATGCAGAAAAAAGTTATTTCATTTATATAGTATTATGGATGAATTTTATGTGTTTTGTAAATTATTCATAAGTTGTAAATTTTAAACATCTTTCGTCCAAATTATAAAATAAATTTTCTTAAAGGATCTCCCAACCCCACAAAAAACTTATAATTTTCCATTAAAGAAGTAAATTGATAAATTTTCAAACACCGAGGGATTTCAAATGAGTTTGTCATAACAATTAAAAGAATATAACAAAAGGATAATTTCAAAATTCAAATTATCTATACATTCCAAATATGAGTTTTTTAGTATCATATTTTGAATGGGGTTGATAATGTTACAAAAGTTTGAAAATAAGGGAGGCAAGTGATATTTTTTAAAGTTTAAGCGTGCTAGGAGATGTTGTCAAAGACCTCAAGGGAGGTTTCTGAAATTATCTCTTAGGAAAATTAGAGAAGAAGAAGAAAGAGATGAAAGAAAGAAATGGCAATTTCTTGATTTAAGTTTTTTCAGATTTTGATTATCAGATCTGCAATTTCTTGGATCTATTCGACAAATCTTATCACGATATTTGGACTTGAAACAATTAATCAACAGATTTGACAGTTGGAAGCATACACAGATGTTCATGGAGCTGAAAAAAGTTTATCTCATTTTTTTTAAATTTGAAGCTTCATAATGTAATTTTTATTTATTCTTTTGTTCTTAAGATATGTAGTATCTATTCTTCAAACCTACTCTTTGATATCTAACTTGTGTCATTAGTGCAGATTTTAATGAATTTATGATCTTTTATAAAAATAAAAAAAAAATCTCGACAGCACATAAAACAAAAGGGTTATTATCACTTTATCCCTTTAAACTATATCATTATTATCAATTTACCCCTTAATGTTATCTTTTAGTAATTCAACTCAGCATGTTAATAAATTTTTGACAAAAATACTCTTTTATTTTATAGCATTACTACATTGTTATTATTACTTTATTCCTTTAAATTATAGTGATATAATCACTTTACTCTCTTCTAGATATTTTACCCTATCCTTTATCTAAAAAGTATGTTAAAAAATGTTTAAATGTATTTACCTTTTTAAAAATATAATTAAAATAAAAATTTGGAATAATTATTCTTCCTTTTTTTCACTCTAAGATTCCAAAAAAATAAAAATAAAAGGGTTTTCTCAAATTTTTTCAGACTTATTAATACTTGGAAAAGAAAAGGAGATAGGACAGAAGGAGACAAAAAATTAGATTTTGCAAAGAAAGAAAATAAGAAAAAATATAATATTATTGTATTACGTTAATATCCTTGGGATTATGATTGGAATTAGGTAATAAATAGAAAAGTAAAGTAATTTTAAAATAATAAAAACATTGAATTTTTTTCTTGTTTGTATTAAAAACAAAGAATTGAGCTCTCTCTCTCCCTCCCATATTTTTCTATTTTTTCCAATGTTAATAAGATTGTCAAGAAGAAAGAGATTAATGTTTTGACTTTTTTTTCTTGATACTAAAAATGAGAAGAGCCACTCTTATTTTTTATTGTTTTTATTATACAAAAAAGAGAGTACTATTTTCTAAAGTTTTTTAACTTAGTAAGTTGGTTTAATGATAGAATAAATTGCCTAAAAAATAACTTTAGGGGGTAAATTGATAACAAGGTTATAGTTTATGGTGGTAAAGTGATAATAATTTTAAAAAATAAACATGTCTTATCACTTGAATTAATAAATTTCTTTAAGTTTGATCGTTAGTTTTGAGGGTAAAATGACTAAAAAATAACGTTAAGGAGAAAATTGATAGTGACGCCAAACGTTAAGGGGGTAAAGTGATAACAACCCTAAAACAAAATTAATACTATTCAATTAGAATCAAATGAGTAATAATCTACCACAATTTTTTTTTTGTATATTTAATCTGTCACAATAATCTGCCATAATGCCTAAGTCACAATGATGCGAGATATGGGATGCATATGGGCCATATTTCAAGTTTCAAGTAGTTCCAGTTTTTGTTAGTAGCTTAATAGTTTATTTTCAACATTTCTAATTAATTTGATAGGAATAAACTTGATCCAAGATCTCATGTTGAGTTAGATCCAAATTAATTGTCAAGCCCATTAGTTAATTGGGTCATTTTGTTAGTTATTTCCTTGTGTAATAATTGGCTAGCAATAAGTCTTTTAATTCGGCTGTGAGTTAGTTGGTTTAGGTTTTATGTCTTGTAAAGTTATAAATATAGCCCCGTGCAACATTTTTTCCGTCTTCCCTTTCTCCCACATCGGTCCAGTAAGGGTTGAGCGATGAGAGTTTAAGTCCCCTTGGTCCAACTTGGAAGTCAGCAATTGTCTTTTGAGTTGGATTGAGGATTAAGGTTTAAAATTTCTTCCTCTCTATTGTTGGAAAGAAACAAGAGTCATGGAGAGTGGTAATAGTAAGGGTGGGCAAAAAAACCCGTTGGCCTGAAAACCCAACGAACCCGATCTGAAAAAATAGGATATCCGATCCGATTTTTCTTAATGTGGTAGATGAGGGTTGGGTACCCACAAAAAACGAATACGGATACGGATCAGAAAAATAAAAACCCGTGGGTACTCGGCCCGCGGGGTATATTATATAAATCTTAAAAAATTAGGGATCATTTTATAATTTTATAATTTGTAATCCTAAATGTAAGTAAAGTGGCTCACAGTTTCATATTCTAATATCATATGATCCCCCTCTGCTCATATTGTTTGAAGAAAGCAAATATTCTCGGTGAAACCTGAATCAAATGAACAAAATGAAGAAAAATTTGTGAAACTCTATCATAAAAATTGTTCATCCCTTTGATAATTTTCATTTTTATTCTACCTCTATCGATCTTTCCTGCAAATTTTTCATCAATTCAATCAAAAGATTTGTGTTTGGAGTTCCAATTTTCTGTTAGCTAGATAATTAAAACGTTCGTGTCATTTATTTATTTGATTTATTTTATTGTAATTATGTCTCTTAAATTTGTCTATTTTATTTTAGTGCAAGAAATTTATTTTTCTTTTTCATCACCTTTAATACCATAAGGTCTATTCCAAAGATGTAAGGAAATTGGGAAAGATTTTTTAAGCTTATTTTGGTTATATTTTCTCCAAAAATAATTAGCTCTGTTCAATTCTTTTCCGCATTTGATTCCACAGTCGACTCATTTGGGATGCAGTCTTATACCATAACATCCTTAAGGAAGTTGGGAAATTTGCCAAATACTTATTATCCTTGTCTTTGTTGTGTTACAGAAGGATGGAATGTATAAAAATGATAATGTACTCAAAATTAACATGAAATTTCGTTTTGTCTATTAGATATTA